GCAGGGCCCGGCTTGGGCCGCCCGGGCGCCGGCGCCGGCGGGAACGCGACGTCTTGCGGCAAGACACCGCATGCCGCAGCTCCTGCAGCATCTCCTGGCACACCGACACCTGCGGACGGGCGGCGCGGGCGCAGCGGTCACCCTCCCGCGCTCTGCTCGCCGCCCCCTCCCCAGGCTGCAGAGGCGCCCTCTCCGCTCCCGGCCTCTTCCAGCTCTCCAAACGCTCCCCTCCGCTCCTCCTGCCTCCCCTCTTCACACCTCCGGGCTCTCCAGCCCCCACCACTTCCTCTACTTTTCTCAGCCGCCATTTTCACCTCCTCTTCCTCCCACCACCTCACTCCCCACCCGCTTCCCTTCTGGTTTCCTCAGCTCCATGCTTCTGCCTCCTCTCCACTAGTCTCACTGGGGCTTGCCCCTGACCTGCCCTTCACAGTCTTTCCTCTCCCCGCCGGGCTCTCCACTCTAAACTCCCCTTCCACTGGTTCTCCACCTTCTGCCTCTTACACAGGCAGCCGCGATTGCTAGGCTTATTCCTCCAGGGCCTCCTGTGTGCCAGGCACTGTTCCTGGCATTGCAGACGGGTGCAGCAGAGAACAAAGCAGACAGAAGCCCCCTGCCCGCCTGAGGGTTCGATTCCACTGTGTGGAAACATGGGACGCCAGAAGTTCCAGGGTGATGGGTGCTTTGGAGGAAAATCAACCAGGGCACCAGAGGTGGGGAACGACATGGGGTTCTGAGACTGTAAGATAGGGTCGCTGAGAAAGGGCCTGAAATGGGGGGAGCAGGCAGACGGCTCAGCAGGGCAGTGTGCTCTTGTCCCATGGCTAGGAAGGGGCGGACTGGAGAGAGAGGGCAATGCCCGTCAAGCGCAGTGGGCTGCTTGTGCCCTGGCCAATGTGAGCAGGTGGGGGGGGCATTCTTCTTTGAGTCAGATGGGGGCCAAAACAGTCTGAAGTAGGGGGCTGCTGTGCTTTCATGGCATCACTCTGGGACAGGGAGGCCAAGGCTGAGAGGAAGAGGCCCGTGGAGCAAGCTGCTCCTGGCACGCAGGGCAGATAACGGGGGCAGTGGACAGTGTTGGCGTCTGGGCAAATCTGGGTGGTGGCACCAACAGGCTGTGCTGCGATCAGACAGCGGGCTGAAGGGTTACCTCCGCATACGCCGGCCTGAGAGGCCAGGGACGAGGTGGAGGGCAGTGGGCAGGAGCGGGATGGGCCCCATCAGACGTCCGCGCGACATCGCGTGGCGCTGAAGGGACAGCCCTGCTTCAAGGCCCCTGTGTGAGGTGCACATTTGGGGGTGTGGTAGGCAGCCCCCCAGGCCTCCCCTGCACCTCCACATTCCCGGCCTTCTGGAGTCCCTCTGCCTTTGTATCAAGGTCGCAGTGTGACCAACAGTCAGCCCCGTCAGCTGACATTGTGGTTTCTGCCGGCTCCCTCCTGGACCTCTGGCTCTGGGGAAAGTCAGCTGCCGCGGCGTGAGGACACACAAGCAGCGTCTGGACAGGCCCCTATTCGAGGAACTGAGGCCTCTGCTAAATGCCATGTGAATGGAGTATCGATCGTGTTCTTTGTTTCCTTAGAGCATCTTCGGATGCTTTTATGTCTTAAAAACCTTCTGGCCAGGAAGAGACTGCTCCTTCCAGGGCTGCTGATTCTTAGAGAGCCGACCCTGTACACCCGGGTGCTCACCGGTCCTGAGTCTGTGCTCCCGTCACCCCTTTCATTTATCCCTTACACGCCAAGCCAGTATTTCTCCTGCCCTGATCAACCCAAGGCTGGCACCAGACAACTCGAGACCACCCTCTAAGCAGAGTCTGCTGCAGCTTTTGCTCACACCGGCCAGCCCTAAGCTGTGGAAACCCCAGTGGCCACTGTGACCCAGCTTGCTCCTGGCTCCTGCCGTGACCTCTTCAAGCCCAGGGGTGCCCCTGTGGTGCTGTGGGGTACACACAGGTGCCCTCCCAGGAGAAGCAAATAATAAAAATCTTCTCGGCCTCCCTGTGCCATGGCTCAGTCACCTCTCGTTATAGCCCACGGGAACGTTTTGAGGCAGTGAGTCATCTTGGAAGTGGATCCCCCATCCTCCAGCCCCGGTCAGGCCTTCAGCCAACATAGTGACCGTGACCCCCCCAGAGACCCTCGGCAGCCAGAACCACCCAGCTTAGCTGTTCCTGGATCCCTGACCACAGAAACTATGAGCGAACAGAAGTTTGCTGTTCTAGGTTGTGAAATACTGGGTGGTTTGTTACGTGGATTAGTAGATCATGAGTGCAGGGATGTGAGCGTACAACTGGCTCTCTGGAGGAGATCACCAGGGAACTGGAGGAAAGCAGAAGAGAAGTAATCCAAGATCAAGCCCTAGAGCTCCCCAAGAAAGGATTGGCTGGAGAGGCAGGAGGGAAACGGGCAGCTGGCAGGGAGGGGGTCAGCAGAGACCTATGGTGCTGAAGGCTTGTACTATCTGTCACTGAAGCCCAAGACACTGGCACTGGGCTTCAGATGTGGAGGTCACTGATCACAAAGGTGGCTTTTTGGATGGTGGCCAAGAGTGAAAAAGAGGAGAGGAGCTGGGAATTGCAGGGGTGAACAAGTCTTTCAAGGCTGGAGGGGAAAGGGAGAAATGGGGTGGTGGCTGGGAGGGGAAGCAGGGCCAAGGCTTCCTTCGTGGAGAAACAGCACATTTGTATGCTGACGGGCTGGAATCCAATAGAGGAAAGTGATGATGCAGGAGGGAAAGAGCAAACTGCTGAGGGGTGTCCTTGGGAAGGAGAGGGCAGCTGCAGAGATGGGATGAGGAGCAAGTGGATCATGTGGAGTTACTAATAGGGCGAGCTGAGAAAGCAGGCAGCGGCTAGGGTGGAGGTGGCCCCGGCAGCGGCTAGGGTGGAGGTGGCCCCGGCAGCGGCTAGGGTGGAGGTGGCCCAGGCAGCGGCTAGG